GATTATGTACTGGTGAAAGCTAAATAGTTGAATGTTTGTAATATTTACAGTCTATGGTGTTTACAAAGTCAGCGTGAGGCTACGACACCGTGTGGGTGTGGAGGCGGGCTCACAGGCAGAAGAGCACAGATCCAAGCGTTTACATAGAGGTGACTCTATGCAAGAAGGGATATCATTTCTAAGAGTGTTGTATGGTGTATCACCCAAATTATTATCACACTTGTGCTTAGGATGGACTGTGAAAAATAAAGAAAAACAAAATATAGGACCTTTAAAGTTTTATAATTCTTACCTGTCATTGAACATTGATCATTTGTTTTGTTATCAATTTTCTGTCACTCGGGACATTTCCTTTGGGAATTGAATAATCATTGACATCACTGTTCCTAATAAAAGTCTTTGTCTTGATTCACTGGGCCAGCATGTAAATAAGAGTGTCAAACTCATTTTCACTGAGGGCAATCAGCATAATGGCTGTTCACAAAGGGCCAGATGTAACCTATAAATGAACTAAGTGTAACCAAATGTAAAGTCAAATAAATGTAACTACTCCTGAATGGTAAATAACTCTGATTTTATTTCTTATTCAAGTCCAAAACATTACAGAAAAAAACTATGTTTGCTCTGTTGTAACATTCATCCTTTAAATTTGTCAGGTTATGAAACTCACATAACTCCCTCAATCAAGGATCAAAACTATCCAAGTGAATAAAGAAAAGTAATCAAACACAAGTTATGGAATTAACTTTGTCAAAGTTAAAACGGGCTTACTAACTGCAAAATCTACAATTGTCAGCTGCATTTTTCAAAAGAAAAAACTGCACAAAGCCTTGCATCCAACTGATGGACTACACCACATCAAAAATGTCCTTTCCCGTCGTGGTCACGTGCATTGTGGCTACATCCAACAGCTCCTCGTTGACGGTGAAATCCACTTTCATCCAGAGCCAATGAAAGAGCTGTGTTCCTTAACTCGGCCCGCAAAGGTTTTTCTTGATGTCTGCATCTGTTCGGGACACACCTGCTCTCAGACCTTTAGCATGCACTGCTTCAAAAACGGCTCTCTGAAAGACCTGGAAACGTAGGTGATTTCATCAGCCACAATAAAGCTAGCTTTCACTGCTACATTTTTTTTCGCTGAACACTAACTTTGGCAAACTTAGAACGAACACAAAGATGGGGGGGTGTACTTCCCATCTTTTTGGGCACAGTTTTCCATCTTCAACAACTTGTTTTTCTCTTGACATTTTGGAGTGATTTTTTGATGATCAATTCCATCTGTCTGCATTGATGTGGAAACACATTAATGCCAACAGGTGTGGCGGGGAGCCGTTGAAATGTTGTTGGACTAAGTTCATCAGATGTCAGACAGTTCTAGTAGTCTTGTTCTAAACCTGGTGCACTGGTAAGCCTCATGTAGACCATGTCTCAGACATTGACATAATTCCCATGAGCTTTTCCACTTGCTCTTTAGAACTGACCCAACCATCCGTCATCTGCTTGTGATTGTCCAATAGTCTTTGTTATGACAAGGTGAATAAAATTGTTAAGTATAGTTGTTCATAGAGCCTTAGGATTTGGGGTTCACTTTGGTCCTCAATCTATCCACACGTTGGTCCACCATGCTGTGCTTTTTCATACTTCTTCCTCCTTTGTTTGTAAATATTTCCTGCTGATGAAGGAAATATGTTTCTCTATCTCCCCTTTCTCTTAAGGAGCAGAAAAGTGTACAAAACCTTATCCATTTCTTACAGCAACTCTGGGGATTCAGATGCAGATATGTGTTGTGCAATATTAGTCTCTAGTGTATTAATGTCTCCGTGAACCCACAAGCTGAGGACTACTCACCAGCTCGTTGAGGAGCAACTTTGCTTCGGAGAGACGACTGTCGGTCTGTTGGAGTTTGGCAGCCAGAGATTTGCGCACGTGTCGCTCCTCAGAATACATGCTCCTGTACCTCTGCAGCTCAGTCTGGGTTATGTCCAGATGTCTGATGCTGTCTTGTTCGCTGCAGCGATTCTTGGACACTTGGTTCTCCAGCTCCCTGATTCTGTGCTCCATTTGGGAGAGCAGTGATTTCTGAGAAGTGTTCTGAGTCTGGAAAAAGCGGTTGACCTCGTCCAGTTTTCTTTGCAGCTGTTGCCTGGACCTCTCCTCAACTTGACTGTGCTCTCTTTCAGCTGCCTCCAAGTGAGACCTCAGCTCTTCTTCTGTCCTCTGTCTGTCCACGAGTGAGCGCTTCAGAGATGCCACCTCTTTCACCAGGTCACCATAGTCCATCTCTAGCTGATGTCGCAGCTGAGTCTCCTTGTTCAGCAGACCCTGGACATCTTCTCTGCTCTTCTCTTCTCCCATGTCCTTGTCACGGAGCTTCTTTTTGGCCGTCTTGACTAATGTACGCAGCCTGCTTACTTCTGTGTGGAGCTCTGAGTTCCTGGTCATCTCGTCTTGCAGACGAGTCTCCACAACGTTTTTCTTCTCCATTATGTGTTTTGCTTTTGTCTTTATAGTTTCAACCTTTGAGGAGAGTTGCTCCTTTTCCTTCTCCAGCTCTGACAAACGCAGTCCAAACTTTGAGCATTTTTTCACCTCTTTCTCCCACAATGCTTGGTACTCCAGTCCTTCATGTGACAACGTGCTGTCCTTCTGCTTCACTATACTGAGCTGCTCCTCCAAGGAGAATTTACTGCTCTGGAGATTTGAGATCAACTCTTGTAGCTGAATCCTTTCCTTTAGAGCCTCGTTTGCCTGTTTTTCTAAAGTTCTCAGTTTGAATGACTGATTCTGTGCTGCTCTCTCTAGTTGTGTCTTTTCCATCAACATCCTCTGCACAGTTTCTTCCAGATGTTTTATGGTTACATCAGAAGTAGCTGAGGAGGACAGGTCTGTCTTGAGTGTTTTGGTCTGCTTTTCACTCCCTGTCAGCCAGTCCAGGTTTTGGCTGAAACAGGTGTGCACCTTTTCCAGGCTGTTGCAGTACTGATGGTTTACTTCTACAGCAGAAGTATTCTTAGACAGCTTCTTCATGCTTTCAGAGAGCTCTTGCTTCAGCTGGCTCAGACTGGCCTCCATCTCAATCTTGTTCGTCTCTAATCTGCAGAGTTGGTGTTTGAGATCTGTGACCTGACTGAGCAGTCGATTGTTCTCTTCCTGCAGCACCTTCACTTCTCTGTGTCTGTTGCTGTGAGCCTTCTCCAGCTGCTGTTGCAGTGACAGACATTCACTTTTTGTCTCAAGTAGGTCACAACACGTGAATACTGCAGATAATACGAGACAAAGCACAGTAGCACAGGGAGGATGTTAGCTTAGCTGCTATTGATAGCTAAATTAAGCTAATTGTAGCTAGCTCACTGTGTACAACAGACACAATCAAACATGTACACAGTAAATACATTTCAGTGAGAGCTTTGGGCCAACGGGATTTGTAGCTAACCAGTTATTTCCAGGATTACCACAGACTAGTCACAAATCAAGAGCTGGGTAATCTCCCTGAAAACTGTGTTGAGCCTCGAGCTGCCTTTGAATTCTTTCTTTGGCCTGAAGAGAGGAACGTGTGGACCTCGTTCACCGACCAGGACCAGGACTTTTGGGGCTTTCTGTGCAATTCCATTTCTACAAAGACCAATCAGTGTAAGGCAGTGGGCCGACGTGACGTCATGGCACGGGTACTATGGGGATGGAACCAAGGCGGAGGCAGTACGGAAAAGTACGCAAATCTCCCATACCATCCACTAGTGGAAACGCAAAATAATTTTTTTTCCCAATTTGTGACAATTGAAACAGTTGAATTTGCTCCCGTTTGCACATACAAAGTCCCATTTGCACATTTTAATCCATTGTTCCGCTCCAGGGTCTAGGTCATTTGAAAGTGAAATAATTGAAATTGGCCCAATAGCGCCCCCTACAGTCTATGTCAAATTTTTGCTAGTTTGTTCAAAATGTTTGAAATTTTTGCATGTATTTCTTTTTTGCCCTCTTGATTCAAAAAGTCAATGACACCCAATACTTTTTCACCCTGTTGCTGTGGCGACGACAAACGCAAAATTTCAAAGGCAAATGTACACCTCGCTCAAACATCAAACCAGCCTCGGCCAATTCACCGATTTGGCATTAAGTCAATTTGGCATAAAATCGCTCCACATCATCTCAACTCATGTACCATCAATAGTTGTGCATGGAATTTTGATCAGTCACATGATCCAATATATATGGACTCACAGATTATACATGTGCTCCTGTTTACAAAGTCTGATTTGTATGAAACTTGACTCAGCTTTTTAGCTCTTGGGTCTAGGTCACCTCTTCACTAAATCTGCTCTTTAGTGCCCCCTACAGACTGAGCCAAACCAACTATTCATATTCATTACAGTTTTACGAATATTGTTCAATGGCTACGAGAGCAAATCATGGCGCGGCAGCGCCACTTCCTTTTTGCGCGGTACGGCAAGGGCCATTCGACGCCGCTTGTGGCTTTAATTGTTATTTTTCTAGCTTTTCCCTACCTGTAAATTTCACTGCAGTAGTGTTCATGGTTTTACACTGATCCAGACCAGAACAAGGAGGATTCACAGTCCGAACCAAGCAGACCAAGCGTAAATCCACTGGAGGAATGATATATGTATATATATATATATTTTTTTAAATGCTAATAAAGCGTCCAACCTTTCATGGATGTTCAACCTCTGCTGTGACCTAAAGTGCTGTTAAACAACGTAATACGTAATATGTTAAATGGAGGCGACAGTGGCTAAGTTGGTATAGCATTGGCTTTATGCTGCCGTTGTGTCCTTGGGCAAGTCACTTTACCCCAATTGAAATGGCATGACAAGCTGTGTTAAAAAGCAGTTTAATAAAAGTAGTGGTATATTTTAAAATGTAACTCCTAATATAATCCCACCACACCATGACATTCTCCTTAGCGTTCAGGCTGCTGGGACTTGACATGCCATGCATCACCATTCAGAGCCTGATTATCTGAGATGATAAGGGGCCTGTTGGATATGTCTGTTTAGTTGCACTGACCAATGAGACAAGATGGTATTTAGAGATAAAGATAACATGTTTGTTTTCCCTACAGAACCTCCAGGCGGTGCACGCACAGCGCTCTGTGGACCTGCCCAAAAGCCAGTGCCCTAGCCGCATGTGGACGGGGGTGTTGGGTGTTACCCTGGTGGAGGGACAGGAGCTGCCTCAGAGCGGGACAGGAGACGTGTATGTGCGCTTCAGGCTGGGAGAGCAGAAGTACAAGAGCAAGGTCTGTTGAGAGAAATAACGCAGGCTTTAGCCTGGGGTGTCTAAACTTTCTAATTATACTCAAAGCAAAGGGCCAGCATATTGGACCATTGAAACTGTAGTTATAAGCCATATTTGTGTTGTGATCATGAAATAATTCTTATAAAAGAGTGGCAAAGCACTAGTTCAAAGGGCTACCACTGTCAGTTCACATGAACGAGCAGCTAATCTGGTATGAATAGTAAACAACAACAGACTTTCATGAGTTACCTGTAAATTTATGTGTTCTTGAAACATTAATTTTTGCCCAGCCCTTAACCGCATAACTTTGTGACAAAGTGTGATTAATTAATTAATTAATTATTGAGTTATTTATATTCTCCTACAACTGCGATTCCCCCCCCCCCACATGCCCACCGTTTTACTGTTCAACCTATGCCGGCCTTTTTGCTTGCAAGAAAAAAAACAGCTCTAGCAGATTATTTCTTCTTTAAAATTAACCTGCAAAAGTGGAGCTTCCCTGCCACTACACCCTGATCTCCATGCGAGCCGGAGACCCTGCTGAGTAAATGATGTGCTTGTGTCATCCCGGTGTAAACCGCTGTGCTGTGTTCTGTTTGTTTACTGAACAAAGCTGCTTCTAATTGGGAGCTGTCAGTGTTTACAGTCCCAGCGAGGCTGCTGAGGCGTACGCATACATGGTCACACAAACAGCCCCCGCCCACCCGAGTGGACACGGGTAGACATCATCCAGCTGTCACCACACCAGCTCATTCACTTTCAAATATGAGCACTTAGGCAGTTTCATTTGTATAGCACAATTTGTAAAACAAGTAAGGAAGCAAGAGAGGATTCACTCCAATGATTGAACAAAATAACTTTTTTAAACAACCATGCTACAACATAACTCTCATCAAAAACATACCTGGAGTTTGCTGCTCCTTCCATGTCCCACCACTCCTTCTGTTCAAAGGCTCGCATCTCCAACTCATTACGCTTTAATGAATCCTCAGACTATGATGACATGGACAGAGCAGTTATCTGCATTTTGAAACTTAAATCATGGCTCGAACTAAACAAAACAGTTTGGTTTTATCACAAGCAAATAGAAACTGTTCTGTGGCCATACTTGCATGCAAAAGCCAGATCTTGTCAGACTTCTGAAGCTAAGCAGGACAGGGCCTGGTTCATACTGTTGGGGATGGGTGCCCTCCGGGAACACCAGGTGCCACAGTCCGGCGGCTGTGGCTGTAAAAGTCCAAACTGTTGTTGTGTCAGTCATCTCCAACTTTTTAGTGCCACCAACCAGTTTAACGTCAATAATAGCATGGACCGGGGTCGCTCGAGTTTCCATATCTCGTTTGTGTTACTGTCATGAGGTGAAGTGATGGAGGACTCAAAATGCAGGAATGCTAAAAACAAAAATGGTTTAATGATAAAAATCAAATAAAAGTCCAAGATGAAATCAAAATCCAAACAAAACCCAGGAACCAGGAACACAGACTGACAAGGACAGACAATACAATGGACCAGCAACAAGAGGAAAGGACCACTGGGTACAATCAACACAGGGGAAACAGGACGTCAAAGTCAAACTAAGACCAAATCACAGAGAACAGATGTCGAAATAAAACCAAAATACAAAATAAAATCCACACCATGACAGTTACAGTCCGTCCGCTGCCATCTCCCTTGTAGTGGCTTTTCACGCGTCCAAACCATAGACTGTAAATTGAAACCAAAATTCTTCTGAAAACCAGCTGAAAACCAGGATATCGAGGCACTTCTACCACCGCAATATTGTCAATACCGCAACATCCTTAGAGTATACTCTATGTACTATGTAATATGTGTAATTTATGCCTATGTACTATGTAAAGTGTTTATTCCCCTTAGAACCTGTGCATCCAGCCGTACCCCCAGTGGAGAGAGCAGTTTGACCTGCACCAGTATGAGGACTGCCAGGAGCCACTACAGGTGGAGGTGTGCTCCAAGAGGGGGCGCAAAGGGGAGGAGTCCTGGGGCACGTGGGTATCTACACACGTTAATTCTCACACACACACACACACACACACACACACACACACACACACACACACACACACACACACACACACACACACACACACACACACACACACACACACACACACACACACACACACACACACACACACACACACACACACACACACACACACACACACACACACACACTCACACACTATTAGAAAAGAAGTTTGTAATGATTGACTTCTACTCTAGGCTGATGGTACATTTTTTATAGTAAGGAATATAATGTTGTTTCTTTACACACACAGCACCATTATCTACATGAGTTCCAATCAATATTCATGTCAACAACAACTTTCGTTTTAGTAACTTTTGAACATACATTAAGTTAGATCTAGCAGTGTGGTATTTGGTGTTAGATGAAATGTGCCTAATAATTCAAATCTCATTGTATTAGTATTACTAGATAATGCACTATGATTTTAGTCATTAAAATAGATGGAAGACTATGATTGCACATTCATTATACACATAGTGAGGACTGTGCAAACCTGCTTGCTTGATAAAATATAATTAAGAAAGGATCCTTGGGCCAAGTTTTGTTTCTTCTCACTTTGGACCCTTTATTTTTGATTGAAAAGAAAACGTGGCCCCATACTCTGTAACTGTTCATGTCACACTTAGCTTCAAATGTATGTCCAAGTAGCCTGTTTGAGTTTACTTAAATCTCTGTAAGACTATGGGCGATGTCAGCACTCAGTTGGTCTACTCCTTATCTAATCTGTACTTTCAACCACAGTTGTCCTTCCAGCGTCAGTCACATGCCTCTGTACTCCTCAGGATTGAGGTGGTCCTGTCCCGACTGCCTCTGAATGAAGCGCAGCTCTGCACAAACGTTTTGGACCCAGGAAAGGGCCGCCTGGTGTTCCTGGTGACACTGAGGCCCTGCTGGGGAGTGTCCATCAGCGACATGGAGACCGCCCCGCTGGAGAAGCCCGAAGACAGGGAAAGCATCGAGGAGAAATTTGTACGTATTTTACAGCTGATTTTTGCCACCAGAGGGCAGACTAGGGCCACTCTCCACTAAACTACTGAAGAACAAGTCAAGTTATTGTGCTCACAGAATAATGTTACATATAGAAAAGTTGTGTGGACTTTTGTTTTTGCGGGGTGTTTAAAATTAGATTGCGTCCTGTATAAATATCCTGGAGGTGTGCCTTTCTGTTTACACATCCCCTCCACATGTTGCTGTTTAGTTGTGACTAGTTGTAGTAGTCCATCCATCCATCCATTTTCTTCCCCTTAATCCATTTCTGGATGGGGAAGGGGTGGCAATCAGAGCTGCACCCAGTACACATAGCACCAGCCCCTCACTGAGCCTCCTGCAGGTCCACAGGAGGACGGCTGCTCTGTCAGTAACGACACCCCCTTGATCTTTCAACGGGGGCTTCAGGCAAAGTGGAGTTAAGTGCCTTAGTAGTAGTAGTAGTAGTAACTTTGAAATGTGCCAAATAATTGTATGTCCACATAGGCCCCCTATAGGCAATATAGGGGGGGTACAGTGCGATGTTAATTTGTTTGAGATCAATGTTAAGCATGTCATCTTCTTGCGTCTTCACACGACTACTGGTTAATGAAGTTTTGCAGTGCATCCTGATGTGAACAGAAAGTGCCATTCACATTATACATGATAATCAGTATGTTGAGGTATTTCCAATGAGTACATTTAAAAGAAGAGGGGGAGGCCTAAAGTATTCGAGGAGCACTGGGACCTATGTCTAACCATGGAGAGGTGAAGTTCTCGCCTACTTGTGGCATCCGAAGTATAAATCCTGTTCATTTTTCCTTTTGTAATTACAATACATAGATGTTTTATAAGATAGAAACAGATTTGTTGTCGCGCAGTGGGGAAATTTCAAGATCTCATTGCACATACAGAACAGTAGTAAGAGCACACAAAATATACAATGTAAGCACTGATGGGCAGTAGCGTCGCAAATAGCTTAACTACATATTTCAGTTGCTTGAAACAAATTAGGAAGACAGAATGCTAATGCACATGCGTAGGCCTTAGTGACTGCACGCACTCACGCACACACACACACACACACTCACACACTCACACATGCTCGCGCTGCTGGAGGGAAGCGACAGGATGGCAGAGAGACCAGGAGCCGCGGTTGAGGAGTCTCAAAATGTTATACCGTGGCCATACCTCCAAAAGTACGTTACTTTACTCGAGACGAGTAAAAAGAAATATGTTTTACTACTTTGTAATCCCAAGAGAAAGTTCCTGTCGACGCCAACGACATTTAACACAAACAAACGAACACAACACCTTACACGATGGTTGTTACAATTGTTTTTCTTAATGGATCAGATCTATTTTTAATATACAGTGTAAAGTTATGTACATATAAGACAGGAGATAAAGTAGATAAAGTAACATTCAGTGAACATTTTCATACATTTTCCAAAACAGACAAAGAAAACACACAACATAGGACAACAACAAACTTTCAGCTGTTTATTCTGCATTGCGGCTGTTTCCTTGCAGATCCTGAAGAACACTCACCAGTGCATGGCAGAGGTGGGCTACCTGCAGGTCAAAGTGGTCAGAGCCAACGACCTGGCCTCCACAGACCTTAACGGTAAGACGACACAGTTAAAACCTGGGGTACATGGATTTTTTGCATAAATAATGCTTGTTTTGTTAGTCTCAAAAAAAATCTTATCACAGCATATTTTCTGCATCATTATCTTTTGCATACTTGCATACTGACTCTTTGGATTGAATTGATTGACTGGATGAGGCTCTTTCTCACTTTTTTGTCATAAAATAAACAAATATAAATATGTGACAGAGGCCAAAATTGCATTCATTTGACTGCTTTGGCCTCGAGGAACTTGCTACTTGGATCTATTGCATAATACTTTTATAAGGTTTGTAAGTTAGGTACCCCAGCTCTCATGACAGTTTTATTCTTTCACATGGTTTGCAGTCTGTGTGGACATAAAACAGAGCTTAATTACATTCTTTAACACTTGCCTTAAATTAGATGGATAATTTCTTAATCCAAAGTACCGTTACGTTTAATTGTGCATTTTAAGATATATTCTTTAGATTCAATAATGTTTCTTGATTGCAGGTAAGAGTAACCCGTTCTGCGTAGTGGAGGTGGGGAACAGCCGGCTTCAGACGCACACGCTGTACAAGACGCTGAACCCAGAGTGGAACAAAGCACTGGCATTGTGAGGAAAACCAAAATCATAACACTCAATAAAACCTGGGTCAGCCTAGACTAGACTGATTAAGTCTGGTTCAGCCTGGTTTAGTCGGGTTCAGTCTGGTTCAGCCTGGTTTCTTGTTCTGGATTGGCATGTTTATACTAAACTTGTGTGCAGCCCCATCAAAGACATCCATGAGGTCCTGGAGGTCACGGTGCTGGAGGAAAACGGGGACGGTTTCTTGGGAAAAGTCGCCATACCTCTACTTACGGTACAATCCAACAGTGTGATTTCATTTAATCAGAAAAGTAACTATTAAGACAAGACATTGAGAACATTGGGTTCTGTCTAAGACCATGAAAATATTCACAAATATTGACATAAAACTACATAATTTAAAGCATTTCAGCATTTTCAGTGTATTCATACTTGTTATACCATGACAGAATAATCTTGACTTAGTAGAGTTTAGGCCATTTAAGAAATGTGCTGGGCTCTCGTATTGTAAATCAACTGGGTGAAGTATAGCACTGAAAATAATACTGCAGATACAATTCCACCAGATAAAGTGCAAAAAAGAGAGGCCCAGCATAACCATAATGCTTTGTAAGAACGTGTAAGGTTGGTTCTAACACCTCCAGTCCTGTTCTCCAGGTGACCAACGGTCAACAGATGTGCTTGCTGCTGAAGAAAGAAGACCTGGAGAAGGCCTCCAAAGGCACCATCACCCTAGAGATGGATGTCATCTATAACAAGGTGAGAGCATGTGATTACAGACGGGAACAACAGTGGAGCACTTACATTTAGTTGTGCTAGAACATGATTTGAAGACACTCCAAACTTTTCATTTCTTGTTCGATCTCTATGATGTTAAGAATTGCTTTTACAATACGGGCAACAACACCCTGTCACGCTCTTGAAAAAGGAATTTTCAAATAATCTGGCCGTGGTTCCAAAGTGGGGCATCAATCAATGCTAAATAAGACTCTGACTGGTCAGTTTGGAAACAGGGGAGCAGTGCTCCCAGAGTGCGAGACAAATGAACCTGAGAGATATTGTTCATTCAACTTAAAGGTGCAGTAAGCGATTTTGTTAGCTAAAGCCTGGTTCACACGAGACGATTTTAAAATTGTCGGCCGATTTTTCTCCGTGTTAGACCCCACACGGGGAGATTAAAAATCCTGCGTCTAACCACTTTGGTCGTGCAGTGTGTGGTGCGTAGCCACACGGCAAGATCACGCAAGCCACAAACCATCACACACGAACCGACACCCCCCCCCCCGAGCATTCCCAGGTCAGACAGAAATCTCACAAAATCTCTCGAGATCAAGCGTGACTTCAGAGTAAACAGTCATGGCGGACGAAGAGGATGCAGTGGCGATAGTGTACAGTTTATTGTTAACAGAGAAGACACGTAATCCAAAGAAAAGGCAATGGTCAAAGCCATGCTGCTGTGTTTTGGTTTTTTTCCGGTGTTTCCTCACCGGCTTGTCACCTCGTCTTCTTATTGGCAACGCGCTCGCTTGTCCTCGGAGGACACCACACACGACAAGAAATCAGGCCAAAACAATCCAACATGTTGGATATCCCCGATTTGAGATCGGGAGCAGTCCCGATGTCCTTCCGAGCGACGAGTGCAGTCTTAACACACCACACACGGCAGGATAATCTGTAAGATTTTGTTACGGAAATCGGAGCGTTTCTTAAGATTGTCGTAAGGGGTAAATCGGGTCTAAATCGGCCTAAATATCCTGCCGTGTGAACCAGGCTTTAGCCGTAGCACCAACTCGAGACCACTCCCCTCCTCCCCTCGCCTCTCCACCAAACTGTTAACGTTTATTGGGCGGCACGGTGGCTGAGTGGATAGCACTCTCGCCTCTCAGCAAGAATGTCCTGGGTTCGAATCCCGGCCGGACCAGGGCCTTTCTGAGTGGAGTTTGCATGTTCTCCCCGTGTCTGCGTAGGTTTCCTCCGGGTACTCCGGTTTCCCCTACCACTAAAAAATATGTACAATAGTTCTGGCATGCGCCTCCTGTTCGGCGACCCCGCTCCCATCTCTGTGTGGAGGGAGAGACAAATGCCCAAAAAATAACAATTGTAAACCGCTTTGTGACTCTGGTCTGTGAAAGGCGGTATATAAATAAAGCTTACTTACTTACTTACTTACTATTAAGAGGAAAAACCCCTTGAGATGAATCATCTCCGAGGGGGTCCTCAAAACCAAACATCCAGCATTTTATTTTCTTTGTCACAACAGGGAGAGTGGGTGGCAAACGTGAAATTGGCATTTTCTGTTAAGCCATTTTTACTACTTGAGCTCTGGAATCCAGGACTATGGCCCTCATTTATGAAACCGCAGAAAAGGGTGTATACAGTATTTAGGGTGTATTTTCCAAAGACGCACGAGCCAACATGGAATTTATGAACGTGCAAAATCCACCCAGATCCGAGCGTACGCACAGCGGCTGTTCATAACTGACGAGGCTGAAAACAAGTGTATTTATGAAAGTCACGCCTAGAAATATGCAGCAACTGCCTGTTTCACGCCCTATTTTTACAACGATTGAGAGGAAACGACTTGTTACTATTTGGAAGCCTCAAAAGTGGCATCGAGGGGCTCAAAAAATAAAATATAGAAAGAGATGACAACATCTGTAATCTGTAAACAGTGTGGGGCCAGTAACACGCACTCCTAAAGAGGTGAATTCAATCATGTTTGAAGAAATATACGCTGTATTATGTCAAACAGTTGACAGATATATTGGGCCAATAGTTAGAATTTATTAATTTATGCCACAGGTGAAAAAAAAATGGAGCGACCTTAAAATGTAACAAAAAGGCATTTAGCAGCTCATAGAAGAAGTGCTCAGCAGCCCAGGCGGAGGACCGCCAGACCAAAACATTATTATTATTATTTTAAAATGGTTGAATGAGAGCCTGTCTGAGCTGTACAGGCCGAAGGCGGTGCTGGACATGGTCTCTCATTCTGGGCTGCTCCACCAGTGCATCATGGCACACCGTGTCCTGTGCCTGTTGTGGAGGACTGAGCCAGGATCATATGGCACCAGGAGGTACCAGAGCGTAGCCCCTGCATGTCCCAGAGCCATCTTCCTCTGATCAGACTGGCGCAGCCTCCACTGTGGCACGCGTCTTTGCTTGGACCCGCATGACCCAAATGCCGTTGCACTGATTGTAGGTGCATATAACAATCCACACATTTGTGGGAAACTTTTGAGTTTGACATCTTGTACATTATTTAATAACACAAACTAGCCCTAATGTAAAATTGCTCTATTTGTATTGTGAGAGGTGTGCCTATAATATTGCCAGAATGGGAATATGTTTATTGTTGTCCAAATCTTGAATTTCATGCGTGTTATTTGCGTGTTGAGATGGGTGTAAAATGTACACAACCTCCAGACTCGGCGTATATTTTGTGCGTACCGTACGCCCATGTCCAGATTGATGAATGCCATAAAGTGTAAATTTTTTGCGTTCGCCTCCTTTACACCCTGATTTGGCCATACGCAAGTTTCATAAATGAGGGCAATGTCTTTACAATGATCTGGCTTCACACAAACTTGTCCTTCATTTTTCTTACATAATATTTTTTTGTAAATAATTTAAGATAATCCTCTGTCTCATACAAAAGTTTTAGGGCTACACGTCAGATTCAATTTCTGGGTTAATCATTGCATTTGCCTAATGACATTTCTTTTATACTTTATTAAATATTTCTTTGACACACTCAAAATGTGAAATGGGTAATTAGTGCATTAAAAGCCTTGAAGAGCGCTCATCTTTCTGTTTGTTGTCTGTTTTCCTTCTTCCAGGTCCGCGCTGGCATCAAAACCTTCAAACCCAAAGAGACCAAATTAACCGAAGAAACCCCCAAGTTCAATAAAAAGGTGATGACTCTCCTCCGCCATGTTTGCAGATAATTAGCAGAGTGGGCTTTGGGTCTGCCTCGCTGCGTCCAAGCGATTAGTCTAATTTGGTGATGTCGTAAACATAATGTCCTGGATGCGTTTCCTTGATTGTAATGATGTGGCTGTATATACAGTAGAAAACTTCACTTTAGTGGAATTATCAAATGGGTCAGATGGGTTTGGGTCCCAATTCTGTGTGCCCTTCCAATAAGCTGCTCAAGTCTGCAAGGATTTCAAAGCATTTCGTAACTTTTCCTTATCACTCAAACTTTGTAACTGTAATTGAAAATGAGATTGCTTATGAAATATTAGCGTACCACTGGCAAAAATAATCGCGCAACATTTTGTGTGCGCTTTTTAGCCTGTTAGCCACTTCTGTTGCAAATATGTGGATGTACGTACAGTATATATAGTAAGTGCTGCTGTTTTTTTTTGTTTGAGTCCCATGGGTTTTTTCTTGTACTTTTCCGATGCAGGAGGGTCTAAGGACAGTGGTGATGATCCGGGACATTTAACAAAATATAAACATTGCTCCTTCACCCTTTGTTGACCGATGGTTCTGTGTGTTTTTTGTTGTTGCATATCCTGTTTTTGAACTGTTTGATTATCTGATCTGTGTTGGCAAATCAAGTCCTCTGATATAACCATTGTTGTGATTTAGGGCTATACAAATGCTGATGTGAATATGTGGCTGTATATAGGTGCTGCTGTTGTAATGATATAGGTGCCGCTAGCTGCTGTAATGATTTGGACGTATATAGGTGCTGCTGTTGTACTGATTTGGATGTATATAGGTGCTGCTGTTGTATTGATTTGGATGTATATAGGTGCTGCTGTTGTATTGATTTGGATGTATATAGGTGCTGCTGTTGTATTGATTTGGATGTATATAGGTGCTGCTGTTGTATTGATTTGGATGTATACATTGTAGGTACTGGCTCGCAACATTTACAGAGTCCGCCGCATCAGCACTGCCGTCCTCTACACGCTGAGGTACATCAAGAGCTGCTTCCAGTGGGAGAGCACCCAGCGCAGTCTCTTGGCCTTCCTGGTGAGTGGAGATCACATTTTGTCCGTTTTAAAGGGCACATATCATGCACAGACTGTTTTTGGATGAACGATTTAACCCATACGCTCTATGAAGCCCAATAATAATGGTCTTTTGATAGTTTGCTCCAATTCACTTCGGCTCCAGTTACTTTAGTAATCTCATCTTATTCTGTAACCGTTTTGTTACACTCACCATTTTGAGCTTGAAATCCTTGCTTTGGTGTTTTTACTTTGATATTGTCTTTATAAATCCATATAGAACTTTATGCAACATACATTTACCGAACAACATGATTTACAGACATGTTTTGAAAAGAGGTTGGATGATGCATCGAACTTCTGACCCTCTCACCCACTCAACACAGAACAACAAAATTGTTCGAAAAAAACACAAATAAAAAATTCAGACGAGTAACACAACACACACACACACACACACACACACACACACACACACAGGCCTGAACACTCTCTTGACCGCAAACTCACCCCCCACTACTCGCTATATACTGAAAGCATCATTCACTTTCTACCAATCAGATTCCTATGTGGGTTAAGTGTCCCCACTGTGGCACCGGTGGCAAATCCTAATTGACAGAAACAACTTTTCCATGCACCACAGACTCTGTACACCTACAATGGCGAGATATTGTTGAAGAAGTAAATTCGTATTTCGTTTCTTGCCTTAAGATTTAGTTAAATTTGTATCTCAGTTTGGCCACAACTTCATGGAAATGTCTTGTGACACATTGGGTTGTTTTCATGAGGTCAGATGAAGAAACAAACCAAAATGCAGGAATACAAAACCCATGATTAAATGAAGATGATAAAATTAAAGTCCAGGGAAGAAAACAAGCTAAAAATACAAACGAATCTTAGAAACCAGGAAAACATATGGACAAAGACAAGAAAAGACAATGGACCAGCAACGACAATAGACTAGCAACAAGGGGAGAAGAGTACAGGGTATGTATACTGTAGACACAGAAGGACACAGGTGAAACACATCAGGGTGGGGCAAGGGAACAGGACAGGACACAAAACTAAAACAAAACCACAGAGAACTAATAGCAAGTAAAAAGTTGTTTGATTAAAACACACATAATAATTTCAATCTGCAGTCATAGATTTATCTGAGTCATGAAACCATTTTGCGGCATGTAAGTTTGGAAAAACCATATTTCAATAATTAAGTGATGTCACATAATGCTTTATCGTCCCCATAGGAAAATGTCTCCTCTGTATTTGACTCAACCGACAATGGCACTAGAATGTGTGACCGATCTGAAAAACACTGTCTTGATAGTAGTTCTAAGAAGAACACTGTTTTTCATGAGTTTTTGTTTTCATGCGGATTGCTGATGATGGGACCGGGAAGGCTAAGGTTTAGGAATTTGTGTTTTAGATACCCAAAATGAGGACATGTCTGGGAAAATGGTCCCCCTAAAACAAGCATGAATTGCTCTAAAACAGCTGCATGTTTGACAAGGAGAAACTACAAGAACATGGTCTTCTTTAAAGTTCTCTGAGCAGAATGTCAATACGGTTCCTCTCCCTCCTTGAAAGGGCCTGTCCGCTGATTGGCTCCCCTGTGTATAAGAGTTTCATCCTGGGCTCGCCGTCTCTCCTCTGATGACGTTTGTACAGCTACACGTTAGCAAAGCCGCTAACCCCGATCGAGCGGCCGCGGGCTGTGTGTGGATCAGAGCCCAGTCGTGCAAATGTGGCGCTTTAGCCGTGTGTGCCAGGCGCTGTGATCCGGAAGGAAGGCTTTACAATACTCACAGCCCCAGCCAACAAAAGCAAGGCAAGTTTAAGTGCAAGACACAGAGTATGAAGTAAAAATATAGTTTATGAGTTTCAAAAATTTTTGCAATGTTGTTTCTCATCAAAACTAAAAAAATCAAAAAAAAGATATTTCAAAAAATGATAGATGCTCAAATCAAATGTACATTCTGATTGTCTTAAATGAAGATTTGTCAATGGGATAAAGCCATTTAGTCTTATTTCAATAACTGTTGCTGTATTTTCTCATTCAAAGGGAGTCCCATTGGCAAACCTTGTTTTAAGGCAGTTATAATGTGCTAAAAAAAAGATACATTTTACCAAATTAGAGCAATTTCTGAATTATTTTTTTAATCACTTTTTACAGTGTAGTGGAAGGAGTTAAAAGCTTTTGCTCAGTTTATTCTAATAATAGGTTATTCTACACTAGGGGTTCCCAAACTTTTAGTAATAGGGCAACTAGTTCTCCAGACTTGTCCACAGGCTGACAACATGGATTGTAAAACTGTTTTTATTGGATTCAGGTTAAAATGGGGTATGACATGTTTCATATTGATTTACACAACGGCAACATTAGGGCCATAAATTTAACTTTGGGACACAATCAAAAAACAACATCAGTATACAGTGCCTTGCGAAAGTATTCAGCCCCCTTGAACCTTTCAACATTTTGCCACATTTCAGGCTTCAAACATAAAGATATAACATTTTAATTTTTTGTCATGAATCAACAACAAGTGGGACACAATCGTGAAGTGGAACAAAATGTATTGGATAATTTAAACTTTTTTAACAAATTAAACACTGAAAATTGGGGCGTGCAATATTATTTGGCCCCTTTACTTTCAGTGCAGCAAACTCACTCCAGAAGTTCAGTGAGGATCTTTGAATGATCCAATGTTGTCCTAAATGACTGATGATGATAAATAGAATGCACCTGTGTGTAATCAAGTCTCCGTATAAATGCACCTGCTCTTTGATAGTCTCAGGGTTCTGTTTAAAGCGCAGAGAGAACCATGAAGACAAAGGAACACACCAGGCAGGTCCGAGATACTGTTGTGGAGAAGTTTAAAGCCGGATTTGGATACAAAAAGATTTCCCAAGCTTTAAACATCTCAAGGAGCACTGTGCAAGCAATTATATTGAAATGGAAGGAGTATCAGACCACTGCAAATCTACCAAGACCTGGCCGTCCCTCCAAACCTTCATCTCAAACAAGGAGAAGACTGATCAGAGATGCAGCCAAGAGGCCCATGATCACTCTGGATGAACTGCCGATAACTACAGCTGAGGTGGGAGAGTCTGTCCATAGGACAACAATCAGTCGTGCACTGCACAAATCTGGCCTTTATGGAAGAGTGGCAAGAAGAAAGCCATTTCTCAAAGATGTCCATAAAAAGTCTCGTTTAAAGTTTGCCACAAGCCACCTGGGAGACACACCAAACATGTGGAAGAAGGTGCTCTGGTCAGATGAAACCAAAATCGAACTTTTTGGCCACAATACAAAACGATACTTTGGCGTAAAAGCAACACAGCTCATCACCCTGAACACACCATCCCCACTGTCAAACATGGTGGGGGCAGCATCATGCTTTGGGCCTGCTTTTCTTCAGCAGGGACAGGGAAGATGGCTAAAATTGATGGGAAGATGGATGGAGCCAAATACAGAACCATTCTGGAAGAAAACCTGTTGGAGTCTGCAAAAGACCTGAGACACTGTATATTAATAAAGTTAATGACTGGATTCCAAATGTTCTGAGCTTTACATTGAGGTGCAGCATAATTATACTGGTGGCTGAAGTTGGCAGAAGGATACTGTGAAAGTACCTCAATGGCAAGTTTGGGTTAGCAAGGCTAGGGGCCACAGAAAATGGTACGGCAAGCCACATTTGGCCTTCAGGCTTTAGTTTGGACATGCCTGTTCAAGCCCCTTCTGTCTCAACCCTTGTCATGACAGCTATTTGTTCCGTTCGGCAGTGCAGTGATAATAGCCTGTTGCTACGATTACTCCTCTGAGCGACCATAGTGTAGTAGTAATCTTTTATTTATTTATATACCGCCTTTCACAGACCAGAGTCACAAAGCGGTTTACATTTGTCTCACTCCACACAATACAATACAATACAATTTATTCTTGTATAGCCCTAGGTCACAACAGAAGTCATCTCAGAGGACTTAACAAAACCATTGAAATCACCAACACAGGTCAGAGAATCAACAGTTAAAACACATGAAGAATATAAAGCACACACAGAAGAAAATGTCCATACATGTTGTAGAATGCTAAAGTGTCCTGATCATCACCAATCCTTTCTGTTGGACACTAACTGTCCAACAAGACCCTCCTGCATCGACAAGGAAAAACTCTTAAAAAACCCAGTGGGAAAAAGTGAGAAACCTTGGACAGAGATGGGAGCAGGTTCGCCAGTACAGGAGGCGCATGCCAGACCGATTGTGCATGTTTTTAGTGGTAGGGGAAACCGGAGGAAACCTACGCAGACACGGGGAGAACAAACTCCACTCAGAAAGGCCCTGTTCCGACCGGGATTCGAACCCAGGACCTTCTTGCTGAGAAGCTAGAGTGCTATCCACTCAGTCACTGTGGTATCATGCAGAGGGTGTCTGGACCTACCCAGGATGCCCTGTATCTATTTCACACTTAATAAAACATGCCAAAGTAGATATTCAGTATGATATTAGTTTTAATGGTTGGACACTCATACCGCTAACTTATGTGCAGGTAAATTTTTCTTTTTCTTTGAAAAAAAGTTTCATATATTTAGATTTGCCTTTACCTGTATATACCTGCGAACGTGAATGGATTAACTAACAAAACACAGACTTAAAACAAAAGTGGAACGCATGCAGGTTACGCGCTCTCACCTATGGAATCATTTATGCAACCGATGCTCTCCATCTGCTCCCACGCCGTGGAGCGAAGCGACCGCACCTCGAAGCTTCTGCACAGAGTCTGCTGTGTGGATTATCCGCGGGCTGACAATACGTCTGCTGCTAAGAAAAATGTACGGACTTAGAAAACACAATGGGGCACTTGAGGATTACCAGCTCGTCCTGACAGAGAGAAAAGGTGCGAGCGTTTGAACTAGCAGATGGACTAAACACGGTGGATTAGCCAAACATGTGAGAAGGCAGACTTTAGACTTACGTGCCCGCGGGGAGCGCTTTTACTTCTTTGACACAGATCGACAGAAAGAC